CGGCTCATTTTGATTTATTGTAGAGATGAGGTCTTGCCAAGTTGCCCAGGCGGGTCTTGAACCCACGGGCTCAGGCAATCCACTCGCCTTGGCTTCCAAAGTGTTGGGATTATAGGCTGAGCCTGAAAATAGTCTCACTCTGTCACACAGGCTAGAGTGCAGTGGCGTGATCCTGGCTCACTGCAACATCGATCTCCTGGGCTCAGGTGATCTTCCCATCTCAACTCCCTCAGTAGCTGGGACTATAGGCACCACCACCATGCACAGCTAATTTATTTTTTTTCGAGTTAGTGTCTCACTCTGTTGCCCAGGCTGGAGTGCAGTGGTACACTCACGACCACTGCAGCCTCGACCTGCTGGACTCGGTAATTCTTCTGCCTCAGTCTTCCAAGTAGCTGGAACTACAGGCACACGCCACCACACCTGGCTAATTTTTAAATTTATTGTAGAGACGAGGTCTCGCCATGTTGCTCAGGCTGGTCTCCAACCCCTGAGTTCAAGCAATTCTCTCACCTCGGCCTCCCAAAGCGCTGGGATTGCAGGCTTGAGCCACCGTGCCCGGCTTCCCAGCGAAATTTTAAATTTTTTTCATAGAGGCAAGGTCTTGCTGTGTTGCCCAGGCTGATCTCGAACTCCTGAACTCAACCAATCCTCCCACTTCGGCCTCCCAAAGTGCTGGGATTACAGGCATGAGTCACCATGCCCAGCCCTCGTTTTACTTTTCTCAGTGTGGCTGTTAGACTGTTTTGAATTCCCCTGGGACTTGCATCAGATTTCATTTGACAGTGCTGCTCTAGAAAGCTCAGATCCTGCTGCTGCGTATAGGTGCAGAGTGGAGGCTGTTCCTCCTAGACATGTCCCTGTCCCCACCATTCCCTTAATGGGTGCTTTACCCACCAGGGTTACCTGCCTGGCCCCTAAAGGCAGGAGTGTTTGTACCTGCGCATGAGCCCCCAATTACCATTGGATTCTCCTAGAATAAAAATCCCGCCTCCTCCAAGGTCGTCTTTGAAATGTTTGAAGCCAGTGATCTCCCCTGAATCTCATTCATTGGATCTGCATTCCCTTTTCCTTCGGTGACATCTCACACAGCATGTGTCCTCTGTCACTAGGGGGAATGAAAGGGTTTGGGCTTTGGCTTCAGTCACAGGGCTGGGTCCCACTGTTGGCCCTTCTTGGTGCTCTCTCCACAGGTGGAAGCATCTTCTCTCTCTGAACTTTAACCTCCTCAGCTGCGAAATGGGGCATCTGTACCTCCCTTCCATGCTAGCGTGAGGACTCAAGGTGGTGACAACTTGACAGGACTTAGTGTGTAACAGGCCTGAAAAAAAGTGCTTCCTTCCTCTCAGCACCTCCAATCTGTCATTATGGCGGTAGCTGAATGGAGGGTCTAGGAGGTGGTATGGAAATGTGACCCAATGCAGAGACCCCAGGGGTGACCTTGTGGGATTTCTTCCCACCTCTGGCCACTCAAGGCACCAGAGAGGAATAGACATGTGGAGGACAGAGGGTTGTTTTCAGAACCTCCTGGAGGGAGGATTCTCTCTTTACTGATGTGGATAAGGATGTTTAGCTGTCGGGCATCATAGCGAGGCGGGGGGCCTTCGGAGGGGTCAGATAGGGGGACAGGGCAGAGCTGGCGTAACTCAGGTTGTGGGGGCATGTGGTGGGCATGTTGATAGGACTGGCTGCCGAGGGCGGGGAGAGGGTAGTCAGCACCACACCACCCTCATCCAGGGAGCGCTTGTAGGGGACTGGAGCATCATTTCGAATGTCCTGGAATGCCAAATAGGCCTGGAATATCTGTGGGCAGAAAAGGGCGAGCGGATGGCTGGCTGGGACCAGGCAGGCAAGGACAGGGACTGGGCTGGGGATGGGCCTGGGAGGGAGACAGAGGGTGCAGGTGTACTGACTGCTCACTGCCCAAGGGCACCTGATGATGAGGCACCATCTTTCATGCTGGGCTGTGGCTGCTCAGAGGAAAGGGCACCCGAAAGGGACCTGTAGAGTTCCTGGGAGAGCCCCCAGCCTGTACTCCCTGGGAGCTAAGTAAGAGCAGGAATGCTCTAACCCTTTCACCCCCACCTGTGAGGGTGCCTCTCCTGGGTTGGGGTGGGGGAGGGGCTCATCCTCACCCAGACAGGGATGGAGAAGAAAGCGAAGGCCACTGCCGCCTTGGCGCTGCTGCTCCCCAGGAGGAAGTGTTTGGGCTTCGAGCGCTGCCACTGGTTGGCCAGGAAGCAGAAACCCACGAACCAGAGGAGTGCCCAGAAGGCTGTTGCGTTGCAGGAGAGAAGAGGGGCAAGAGGAAAGCTTGCTCAGGCAGGGCCACTGAGGTGCAGAAAGGACAGGGCGGGGGTTCTCACTGTGGGACCTCCGAATCACTCCCCTGTCCCTCCCAGCCCTCCCTGAAGGAAATCACTAGGCTAGGGCTGCGCTGCCTGACCCAGGAGTGGGAGCGGCTGGCCATGTGCGGCTGTTTAAATTTTAATTCATTAAAATTGAATTTTAAAAACTCAGACCCCAGTTGCTCTGGCTGCGTTTCAAGTGCTCAGCAGCCATAGGTGGCTGGCGGCTCCTGTGTCCGGAGCGCAGGCATAGAACATTTCCACCCTCAGGAGGGTCACTCGGGCAGTGCTGGCCAGCAAGGCCCCCTTGGCCCCGAGACGCTGGGACTCGCCCAGTGGGGAAGAGAGAAAGAAGAGCTGAGATCAGTCAGACCTAGAGGAAGAGGCCAGGTCCTAGGGAGAAGGAATGTGCATTTATTTAGTGCTTGCTGTGTGCCAGGCTCTGTGGTTAAGAGTGCAGCAGTGCTTAGGAGACAAGACGTGCTTTGAAGTGCTTAACCTGCCACTATGCAGCTGAGTATCCACTTGCATCATCTCCTCAAGCCTCAGTTTCCTCCTCTGTAAAATGGGAGTGTGCACAGGACTTGCCTCCGGGGGTGGTTCTGAGGACTGAACCTGAGAAGAGGCACATGGAGCCCTTTCCTGCCTGACACGTGGGAGGTTCTCAGTGATGGTCAATGTTACTCCAGGCCTCTTTCATCTCCTTTCATCCTCAGAAACCCCCTGCAAGGTAAGGGTTTTCGTCCCAGCTTCTAGTGAAGCTCAAAGAGGGGGAGAGACTTGTGCACACCCAGACAGGAGTGGCTGGGGCTGAGTTCCAGCCCCGGTCTGGGTCCAGGTGGCTCCGCGCTCCCAACCCCACTCCCTGCCACCGGTGGCTTTTCAAGAACTGTTCTGCGAGCAAGGGAGGTGAATGTGAGGAAAACGCAGAGCAGGAGGGAGGCTTCTGGGATTAGCTTGGGGGGAAGAGGAGACCCTTAAACTAGTCCAAAGAATAAGTGACTATTCCCCAGGAGGAATGGGCAGGCGGAGGAGCAGTGAAAAGTTCTGGGCCACGTGTGGTCAGGCACCTCCGGTGGGAGAGGAGTGATGAGGCACAGGGCTTGTCCCGGCGGCCCTGGGAAGCCGGGAGGGCCTGAGCTTGGGAAGGGCAGCCCTGGGGAGAGGTGCTGGGGCTCACCGGCCAGGATTAAGTCCAGGAGCTGAAAGGCCATCTTGAAGCGGGTATCCATGATGCGTCTCCCGTGGGCGTCCAGGATGAGGAAGGCCAGGCAGTTGAGGAGGGCCAGGAAGCCGGCGCCCACGGCGAAGCTGCAGGCCACGCTGTTGCTGTTGAGGACGCAGTGGAGCTGTGGAGACTCCGTCGTGTTCTGGTAGCCATCGGTCAGCAGGGAGGAGAAGATGATGAGGGAGAAGACCTGTGGATTCCCAGGGGCCAGAGTGGAGCTTAGCATCTTCCTGGAGTCGCTCACTCCACCCTGGAGCTGACAGTCCTGCCACATCCCCCATCACTGGGATGTTCTGGGCCTGTCTCTCCCTGTCACAGTTGCAGTGCCCACAGCCTCCTGTCCCTCCTCCCCTCTGCTCCATCCAGGCTCAGGTCTCAGCCTCTTCCCTGGGCCCTCACCCCAGCCTCCTCCCAGCCTCCCTGCCTCCAGACTCACCCTCTCGGCCCATCGACCACACAACACTGGGGACCTCTTCATACCTCTCCCTGCCCACATCTCCCTTGGCTCCCCAGTGCCTGAAGACTGAGTCCCAGCCCTGAAACCTGGCCTTGGAGGCTCTGGGTGGTCTCCACCCCCTTCACTTTTCCAGTTTCATCTCTCTTCACTCATCCCTGCCTCCTGTCACACTCCCCTTCTGTCACCAAGCCCAGGTACCCATATGAAATACTTGGCACAGTGCCCAGGACACAGGGAGGGCTGAACAGGGATTTGCTGTCATGATTATTCTCTCCACCTCCCAGTTCTTCCCTCTGCCTGTGACTTCCTTCTCCTCCCTCCCAACCTCACCAAGTCCTATTCATTGCTTAAGAAAAATTTGTGAAATAGTCCAAATATACAGAAAAGTACAAAGACAAATGAACCAAACACCCAGTGCTGGCTACTCATGAGCATTTTGCCTTTTGGGGGGCGCGGGGCTTCAGGATTTTGTTTAAACAAGTACAACACTGATGTGGTAACCCCGTCCCTCTCATTTGTGCCGGTGCATACAGTCTGTGTCTATGCTTGTTTTCTATGTTTATTTACTAAACACCACTGAATTCACTAAAAACTAGCCCAGGCCATGCTTATGACCACCCTAGGACACAGCAGTACTCAAAGCCCTGCGTTTTAGGTCATGAAGCTGAGGCACAGAGAGGACAAGAAGTCAGCTGAGCTTAGTTAGCTGGTCAGAAGCAGAGCCTGGGTTTGAACAAAGCAGCTGGCTCCTGGCTGTGCCCTTGACCCCTTGCTGTACTACCTCACCCTGGACCACACACTTAGGATGGGGGATCCTATCAATGGAATCCTGTGAAAATTTGAAGCCCCAACTATTTGTCTCAAATGGTCACGGAGAGGCATGGCAAGGTCTCTTCTAGACAGAAGGAGCTGGTATGTCTATGGGGTGGGGGGTGGGAGTTGGTCCAGGAGGGCTTTCTGGATGAGGCAACACTTATAAGGAACGTTGAAGGGTTAGAAAGGCTAAGGTAAGGTAAGGTATGTTGTCTGGAGGGCAATAGGCAGCCATGGAGGGCTGTGAGCAGGGGATGGGCAGGATCAGCTCTGAGTGTGTGGGTAGAAAGACCCTTGGTATGGAGATGGGCTGGAGGAGGTGAGTTTGGAGGCCAGGAAGCCAGGGGGGGAGGATGAGACTTGGGTAGGGGAGAGAGTCAGGGTCTGAATGGAAACCCAAGCCATGGGGCTGGATTTAGGAGGTAATAGTAAGGTGAGAGCTGAAGTGGACCTTCAAGAACAAGGAGTAGCCGGGCTCGGTGGCTCAGCCTGTAATCCCAGCACTTTGGGAGGCCGAGGCGAGTGGATTGCCTGAGCCCACGAGTTCGAGACCAATTTTGATTTATTGGCAAGACCTGGTCTCTACAATAAATCAAAAACTAGCCAGGCATGGTAGCATTCTCCTGTAGTTCCGGCTACTTGGAAGGCTGAGGCAGAAGAATTGCTGCAGCCCAGCAGGTCGATGCTGGGGTAGCCGTGAGTGTGCCACTGCACTCCAGCCTGGGCGATGAAGTGAGACTCCAACTCAAAAAAAAAGAACAAGGAGTTCTGGGTCAGACAAGAGAAGGAAGATCATTCTCAGCAGGATGGACAGCATGTGCAAAAGTCAGATGTTGCAGAACCGGAATAAGAGAGAATCTCGGCTGGGTGTTGTGGCTCACACCTCTAATTCCAGCACTTTGGGAGGCTGAGGTGAGAGGATTGCCTGAGCCCACGGGTTCAAGACCAGCCTGAGCAATATGGTGAGACCTCATCTCTATAATGAATCAAAAAATTAGCTGGATATGCCTGTGGTTCCAGCTACTTAGAAGACTAAGGCAGAAGGATCACCTGAGCACAGCAGTTCGAGGGAGCGGTGGCTGTGAGTGCCACTGCACTCCAGCCTGGGTGACAGAGTGAGATTCTGACTCAAAAAGAGAGAGAGAGAGAGACTCTCACTTAAGGGGTCCGGTGTGAGATAAGGCTAGGAAAACAGGCAGAAGCCATATCCTAAGAGGCCCTGAACACCAGGTCCAGGTTCCCTGGATTTGGGGAACCTTGGAAAGAATTTAATTTTATGCACAGAAGGATTCTGGGCAGGGGGCAGCCAGGGTCAGAACTGGGGTTAGAGAAGAACTGTGGCTGACAGATTGAGGTTAACAAGACAAGAGGCCACAGACCTGCGAGAAGGCTGGTGGGGAGGCCCAGGCCAGAAATGCTGAGGCCAGAGTTCTGAGTAATCCATTAATATTTAGGATGTAAAATAGAACTTGGTGACTGATTGGATGTGGCACTGTTGGCGATGGGGGTTAATCGGGGGGGGGTAGGCCAGGAGGAAAAGGAATGTTGAAAATGTCCCCTTCATCAGAATGGGAAGTCCTCCTGGACATGCTCCACACAAGACCCTTCTCTCTGTCCCCAGCACCCACTCCAGATGAACCTCAGCAAATGTGTGTTGGAAGAGTGAATGACTTTGGTTTCCTCTTTTTTTTTTGAGTTGGGGACTCATCCTGTCACCCAGGCTTTTGCCCTGCCTTTCAGAGTGGGGATAGAGGAGCAGAGGACTGCCCCTAAACAACTCTGCTTCCGTTTGTTCTCTCTCCTTTGCCTTCATTACTTCTCTGAACAACAGCAACACCACTGCCCCGAGTTCCTCTTTTGCCCAGTGCTTCAGCATCAGCCAAGGCTTTGCACACCCATCATCTCGCTTGCTCTGTACAGCAACCCTCATAGGGAGGCTGAGCCCCTATTTTGGAGCTGGAGAACTGCTTCCATAGAGGGGGATGGTCTGAGGCAGAGCCAGGTTGAGGAAGGGAAAGTGCATCGATCATTTTTGAGCCGGATTCATTTTACCTGCCCTACGCAGTAGAGGTTATTAATTCATTTCTGTTTCACAGGTGATAAATCGAAGCCATTACGGTGGACTGGAAAGAGCCAGACACGTCTGACTCCGCCAGCTGTGTGGCCTTGGGCAAATTGCTCACCTCTTGGAGCCTCAGTTTCCCAGTCTGTCTCTATGAGGGAAAATGTGGGGGTGAGGCTTGGCCCTAGCAGGTGCTCAAGAAAATGGAAGTTCTCGTGATTCGCCCCGAGAGGGGAAGTGTCCGGTCAAGGTCAGTTGGTGGTGGAAGAGGGGTTAGAATCCAGCCCTGCTGACTTGCAGGTGGGCTGGCTGTCTGTCCACTGACCCTTAAAGCCTTGGGCTGTAGTGGGAGCCCTAGGAGACTCAAGGGTGGGGACTCATCTGGGCCAGAGGGACCCTCTCCCTCTGAAGCCTCTGTCCAACCTCCTTCCACGCCCTCCCTGGCCTGTCCCCAGGGAGGGAGCAAAGATTCATCAGTTAAGGCACCAGCTGGCAGGCGGCAGCAAGAAGGACAAGAGCACCAGCTGCCCAGAGACTCCCTACTGAGGAGCCAGGCCAGGGGGGAAGGAGGAGAGGGCGGGCAGAAGGGAGGATAGAGGCGGCAGGCAAAGTCCGTGACCAGAACGTTTGGCACGGTTGGCAGCCCTTCCCCCCTATCCTGCAGCGGTCCATGCCAGCTGGGGCTCCTTTTCCCTTGACACCCGCCCTGCCTTCTGAGTCTGACTTGCTCACCAGCTGGGTGATGTCCTTGGGCAAGTCATTCAATCTCTTTGAGCCTCAGTTTCCCCTTAGGGTTAAACAGGCATAGTAATATCCTTGTCATAGGGTCATGGTAAGAAGTAGAGGAACTAACACTAGAAAGGGACCTTGTGCTGGGAAGTGGTATTGGAAATTCCCCCTTCACTGGGAGGCGGACAACGGACACAAGTTCCAGTGATCCCAGGCCCCTGAAACCCATCTTTCTCCTAGCTCACAAATAATGACTTGTCCTAGTAATAATTGCTGTTTAAGGAGCAATCACTACTTGCCAGGCCCATGCTAATCAGTTTATAGGCATTAACCTGGTTCATTTTCACAACTGTCCTTTCTATGAGCAGGGTATTAAGATCATCTTTTGACAGGTGAGGGTATAGAGGTTCAGAGAAGTCAAGTGACTTGCTCAAGGTCACACAGACATTGGGGGACCATGTAAGCTATCAAACAAAATGGGGCACTTTTGAGAATGATAGGTGGTGCTGCTGATAATTATGCCGAGGCTGGCCTGAGCAAATGGGCAGTGTGCCACCCTGCATGGACAGCATGTGGCCAGCCAGATTCCAGGCCAGGCCTGTCTGTTCCTCTCCAGCCTCAGGCTCCAGAAGGGGCAGGGAAGGGATACTCTGGATTAGGAATCTGGTGGGGAGACCCACTAGACATCCCACCTACTCCCATGGCCCCGATCAAGTTTCATCATCTCCCTGTGCCTCAGCTTCCAATTCTGTTAAAGGAGAGTAGTGGAAGCAGCACAAGTTAAAGCCCATACAACTCAGCACTTTGGGACGCTAAGGCGGAAGGACAGCTTGAGCCCAGGAATCCAAGACCAGCCTGGGCAATACAGTGAGAACTCATCTCTACAAAAAGTATTTTTTAAAAAATTAACCAGATGTGGTGGTGTGAGACTGTCATTCCAGCTACTTGGGAGGTTGAGGCAGAGGATCGTCTGAGCCCTGAAGTTCGAGGCTGTGGTAAGCTGTGATTGTGCCACTGCACTCCAGCCTGGGTGACAGAGTGAGACCTCAACTCAAAAAAACCCAAACAAACCAAAAAAAGCACATAGTCACAGTTCTAACTTCTCAAGGACCGAGGTCCAGAGAGGAGCAGTGATTGGTTCAAGGTCACATGGTGAAGTCTGGACAGAATGAGGATCTGACTCCAGGTGTCCAGATTCTTTAGGAATGTGGCAATGATTAAATGACCACATGTAAAGCCCCAGGCACAGTGCCTGGCACACAGTGACCACCCAATGCCTGGCAGCTTAGGTCTGCATTACCTATTCTCTTCTTAGAGGCCCCAGCTCCTATTCCTCCCCTCCTCTTCCCTGACCTAAGAGGCGGAAAATAAATGGGCTCTGGCATCTCACAGACCCGCTTTGAATCCTGGCCTGGTCTCTTACTGTGTGACCTTAGCCAATGCTGTCTGATAGAATTTTCTGGGATGATGAAAAGCTGTGCTGTCCAATTTGAGAGCCACCAGCCGCATGTGGCTGTTGAGCATCTACAAGGTGGCCACTGTGACTGAGGAACAGAATATTTTATTTTAATTAGTGCAAATTGAATTAGTCATACGTGGCCGTGGCTACACCACTAACAGCCCAGACTGAAAAAAAGAACTTTTTTTTTTAGAACTTCTCACCCTGCTGCTCAGGCTGGAGTGCAGTGGTGCAATCAGAGCTCACTGCAGCCTCAAACTCCTGGGCTCAAGCTGTCCTTCTGCCTCAGCCTCCCAAAGTGCTGGGATTACTAGCGTGAGCCACTGCGCCCAGGCCAGATTAAAAAATTATTTAACTTCTCTGATCCTCCTTTTTCTTACCTCAAATACGGGGCTCCTACTCTGGAGGGTTGCTTCTTACTGTGAGAGTCAGTAAGTGCCCCGAATAGCACAGAGCCCATAGTTGGGTGCTCAGAAAAAGGTGTTGTCATTATCAGCTCCCAATCTGATGACTTCCCCACCCCAATCCCTCTCCCTGTGTCTGGGAGTTTAGAGCTCCTGTCTCCTGTCACCCAAGGGTGCAGGCGGGCCACAGGAGAGCCTCACCCCCGCGAAGATCCGTGCAATGGTCCTGGGCCTCTTCAGAAACTGCACGACTTCGCTGTTGGCCAGGTCCTGGAGGCTTTCAGGGATGTGCATGGTGGCTGCTCTCCTTCTGGGGCCTGGGGAGGCAGGGGCTGCACTGCTGGGCACTGCCTGCTGGGCACTGCTGGTTGACGACTCGGGGCCCACCCTGGGCTTGGCTACTGCAGGACAACACAGATGGGGGATGCTAGAGTCAGGGGTGTGGGTGGAGAGGTTGCCAGGGGCCCCAGCAGTGGGGAACATGGGATGGGGGGACGCTGGAGGTCCCAGGAATGGGGTTGTGTGGGGTGGGGTGAGGGGGCTGTCGGGGATGGGGTGAAGGGACTGCCAGGGGTCCCAGGAGTGTGGGGGCATAGTTCAAGGGGTTCTGGGGGCTCCAGGAATGGGGATATGGGATGGGTGGTACTCAGGTCCCAGGAGTATGGGATGGGGATGCCGAGAGGGTCCCAGAAATGGGGTTGTGTGGGGTTAGGGGGCTGCTGGGGCTCCCAGGAGTCAGGACATGGGTGAGGCAGTTTCTAGGGGTCCTAGGAGTTGGGGATAAGGGGGCTTCTAGGAATGGGGGACACGGGGGTGAAGGGGCTACTGGGGGGTCCCAGGAGGGGGATAAGGGGTGAGGATTCTGTGGGTCCCAGGAGTGGGGGAACACGAGTGAGGGGGCTGCCTCAGGTTCCACAAGTCAGGCATTTGGGCTGAGGGGGCTGCCAGGGGTACGAGTGGTGGAGAGAGGTGAGATGCCAGGCCAAGGAGAAGGGGTGGGGCAAGGGCTAGGATATTTGGGGTCCATGTCCCTTGACACAGGAGCGGGAGGACACAGGTGGGATTTTTCTGGGGAGTGAGGATGCTGCAGTTGAGGTCAGAGCCCTGGGAGGCCTGAACCAGAGGAACCCCTTTCAGGGTTTGGAATGACAGCACCCATCGTGGAGAAGCCAGGCGTCTCAGGGCGTGTGTCAGGCGGTCCTCGTGAACTGGGTTATTTCCCAGCCTAAGGGCTTCCCTTTAGAATCCAGCTCCATCTTCATCAAGGTGCATTTCCTGAAGGAAAGAGGCTGGATCTCCGATGCATGAAGAACCTCTACCTTCTTAGAATCGAGGTCTCCCCTTTAAGGACGTGGAATGGGGGTGATGACGCTGCCTCACAAAGGCTCACCCCTACTCTGGAGGGCCAGTATGCGTCACCCGGAGGCTTTTTCTTCCTTCCGCCCCCCCCTCCCCTCTCGGTTCCCCGGCGCCGACTCAACCTTCTTTTGGTTCCGCTTTTTCCCGCCTTTTCGCTCCTCCACACCTGATTGGCTGCGGCCAAGTCCCGCCCCCTCTCTGTTTCCGCCTACTCAGGAGCTGACACGACCGGGGGCGTGGCCTCAGCGAACGTTGGCCGGCTCGCCGTTGGCGGGCGGCGCGCGGGAGCTCTGCCACGCCCCGCCCCATCCCTCCGAGCAGTCCCGTGCCCGCCCCGCCCTTTCCCTTTGAAGCTAGAGGACAAGGAGACATTTCTGTGGCGCATGCGCCGCGTCCAACCGAGACAAGTGGTGGTGAAAGGCAGGCACGACGCTTGCGTAGTTGAGATAAAGCGTCCTGGGGAGAAATGGATGGCGCTCATTGCCCAGGCTTTGCGCATGCGTTTTGCAGCTAGCTGAAGCCGAACCCTGGGGGCCCAGGACACCCTCTTGCACATGCGCGAGAGGCTCAATGACAGTCGAGCGTTGGCTAAGGTGAGGGAGAGGGAGGGGGATTGCATGGCCGGGGAGGGCGGCCCTGCACCCCCTAGGTAGGCTTTGCGAGCATTTTCCATTCTCCTAATACCCACCTCTCCATCTAGACCCCGAAGAAACGTTATACCACTGTAGGGTATCTGGGCTTGCAAGACGCCCCAGAACCTAAAACCTCTGACCCCTGCCCGGGATCCAGGCCAACTGAGCAATATGGGAGGGGTCGGGCAAGATGGGATACGAAGCGGGTGGATGGGTTCTGCGCTCCGTCTGGGGTAGGACGGTCCCTGGAGGGTGGGACGTGGAGGTGGAGAGGGCGTCTTTCCTACAGATGACTTTGACCCCTGCCCATTTCCTTCTGTTTAGACTCCGGGGAAAGGGTCTCGCCATGCTGCATGTGACCCGGGGGGTCTGGGGGTCCAGGGTCCGAGTTTGGCCCCTGTGTCCTGCGCTCCTTGGGCCCCCCCGGGCCCTTTCGTCGCTGGCGGCCAAGATGGGGGAGTATCGCAAGATGAGGAACCCCACGGAGCCCCGCGACTGGGCCCAGCAGTACCGCGAGCGCTTCATTCCCTTCTCCAAGGAGCAGCTGCTCCGCCTTCTGATTCAGGTATCGCCCGTCCCGGGTCCGAGAGCCTGCGGACTACGATTCCCGGCAGGTTTCGCGGCTGCAGAGCCCGACATGCTGCAGAAGACTGCCCTGGTGCCTCCTGGGAGTTGTAGTTCCAGGGTTCCTAGGGGGCGCGAGATGAGTTGGAATGCAAGGAGGGCAAGGCCTCTGAGATGCAGACACAGCATCCATTCCTTACCCTGGCTTGTTCTGGGTGCTCGAACAGGCATTTTGTGGGGCATGTTTTTTCCCTCTGTAAAATGGGTATAATAATCATCCTCAGACTAGGTGCGGTGGCTCAAGCCTGTAATCCCAGCACTTTGGGAGGCCGAGGTGAGAGGACTGTCTGAGCCCAGGGTTCTAAGACCAGCCTGGGCAACTTGCTGAGACCTCGTTTCTACAATAAATAAAAAAATTATCTGGGTGTGGTGGGGTTCGCCTGTAGTTCCAGCTACTTGGAAGGCTGAGGTGGAAGGATCGCCTGAACCCAGAAGGTAGAGGCTGCAGTGGCTATGAGTGTTCTACTGCATTCCAGCCTGGGTGACGGAGTGAGACTCCGACTCAAAACAAAAACAAAAAAGTCCTCTTCATTACTATTTCTGTTACCTAATAATAATTATACCTACAAAGTCACAAAGCTATCATCATAATTATTATCACGTGATTTGAGCTCTTTACGACACTGTGCCGAGCATTTTTCATATATTATTGAATTGTCAGAACAATTTTACCGATGAGGTTATTGAAGTTTGCAGAAGGAAAGTGACCTACCCAAAGCCACAACATAGCGGCCCAGATTTGAACCCTGACTCTATATCTGGGTGGGGACTGGGGTGAAGTGAATGAAGCATTTGCTCAACCCTAACTAAGGGTAAGTGAATGTGTGCCTCCCAAGGGTGCATTAGGCATCTCACCCTAGTCCTGGTTTCACTCCAGAGCTCCAGCTCTCCAACTCTTACCACCCCCACCATACTTGTCTTTTTTTTTTTTTTTTTTGAGTCAGGGTTTTACTCCTGTCATCCAGGCTGAAGTGCAGTGGCACGGTCACAGCTCACTGCAGCCTTGACTTCCTGGGCTCAGGCGATCCTTCTGCCTCAGCCTTCCCAGTAGTTGGGACTACAGGCATGTGCACCACGCCCAGCTAATTTTTCGAAATTTCATAGAGAGGAGGTCTCACTATGTTGCCTAGTCTGGTTGAACTTTTGAGTTCAAGTGACCCCCCTCCCCCTTCAGCCTCCTAAAGTGCTGGGATTATAGGCATGAGCTACCACGCCCGGCCCGTACATGTCATTAAGGATTATTGTCACTCATTTAACAGTTATTTATATGAACACTGACGTGATACACATGCAAATATACACACGTGTGTATATGGACATGTAATCTCATCAAATTCTCACTCTAGCCCTCTGAGAAAAAGAAGGTATGATCCTCTGTTGCCAATGAGGAAACGGAGGCTCAGAGAAGTGAAGACATTTACTCAGGGCATTGAGATCGGAGACATAAAGTGGTTCAGCCGTGCTGAACATAAAGTGGTTCAACAGGTCATGCCTGTTATCCCAGCACTTTGGAAGGCTGAGGTGAGAAGATTGCCTGAGCTCAGGGGTTCGAGAGCAGCCTGAGCAACATGGTGAGACTTCATCTTTACAATAAATAAAAAAATCAGCCAGGTGTGGTCGTACATTCCTGTGGTTCCAGCTACTTGGAAGGCTGAGGCATAAGCATTGCCTGAGCCCCGCAGGCCGAGGCTGCGGTCGCCATGAGTGTGCCACTGCACTCCAACCTGGGCGACAGAGTGAGACTGCGACTCAAAAAAGAAAAAAAAAGGCCGGACTTGGTGGCTCAGTCTGTAATCCCGCGCTTTGGGAGGCCGAGGGGAGTGGATTACCTGAGCCCGCGGGTTCGAGACCAGCCTGGGAAACTTGGCGAGACCCCATCTCTACAATAATTCAAAAAATTAGCTGGGCATGGTAGCACACGCCTGTAGTTCCAGTTACTTGGAAGGCTGAGTGGGAAGAAGGATCGCTGGAGCCCAGCAGGATGAGGCTGCGGTGGCCGGGAGCAGCCACTGCACTCCAGTCTGGGCGAAAGAGTGAGACTTCAACTCAAAAAAAAAAAAGAAGTGGTTCAGAATGTGTGCTCTGGAGTCAGACAGACCTAGGTAGGAGTCATCACACAGACACCGTGGCCTCAGCAAGTGACTTTCCTGAACTTCCCTTCAGAGGTGTCCCCCTCTGAAAAATGGGCTTCTAATTCCATCAAGATCCTTGTGTCATCTGGAGGATGATGTCCCACTAATAGGAACTGGCTAACAGTTCCTGGTGCATATAAACATTGTATGAATGTTGGCGAGGAAGGATCATAGTGGGAACTTGAACTTCCAGCTCTTTAAGCCATCTGTTTTTCACTATATTGGGCTGCCTCAGTTTCTTGTCAGTAAAACCGGTTAACTTCCCCAACAAAATGTTTGAAAGTCAAGAGCTCTGACTACATGTATGAACTGTCTGGGAAAGAATTCCTTCTCGTGGGGAGGGGGAAAAAGCCCACAGAGAAGTTTTCCTTTCTGAGGTAACAGGAATTTCACTCGAGTCCTGCAGAGAAGGCGGCTTTGGAGGCGTTCTCGGCTCACGTGGACTTCTGCACCCTGTTCCACTACCACCACATCCTGGCCCGGCTACAGGTGAGGACAGGGCCCTCAGGCTCTGTGGTGCATGTTTGCCCATCCGTTCATTCAGCAAATATTCAGCGACACATACTTGGAGCCTGGCCCTGTTCTAAGCATTGGGGATTCAGCATCGAGCAGGACAGATGAAGCCACACCCTCAGGTATGAGCTGACATTTCACCCGGGCAGATGAGAGAGAAAATAAATATAAAATATGACTGGGCATGGAAGCTCATACCTGTAATCCCAGCACTTTGGGAGGCCAAGGAGGGAGGATTATTCGAACTCTGAAGTCTGAGATCAACCTGAGAAATATAACAAGACCTCGTCTCCACAAAGATATAAAAAAATTAGCGGGGTATAGCAGTGGGTGCCTGTAGTCTCAGCTACTTGGGTAGCTGAAGTGGGAGAATCACTTGTGCACAGGCGGTCAAGGTTTGGGTGAGCTGTGATTGTGTCACTGTACTCCAACCTGGGTGACTAAAAAAAAAAGTCTGTATATGTATATGATGCCTGATGGTGGTAAGTGCTATGAAGAACAAACAGGGTAGTGGTATAAAGAGGGACGAAATGGGGGCCTGTTTTAGACAGGACAATTGGGGAAGGCTCCCTGAGGAGGTGGCAGGTTGATTAAGACCTGGGTGAAGAGAAGGAATGAGCCTGATGGATGTGGGCGAGAGGATGTTCCAGGCAGAACGTGTTTCAACCAAAAGCAGGTGCAAAGGCCCTGAGACGAGAGGGGGCCGGGAGTGTTGAGGAACTATGAGGAGGCCACTGTGACTGGAGGAGAGTTAGTGAGCAGGGAGGGTGGGAGATGAGGACGGAGAGGGCTGAGGGCAGATTGTCCTGGGCCTCGTGGGCCACAGTGAAGGCCTTGCTTTGCCCCTGAGTGAGCAGGGAACCGTGGGAGGGCTCTGAGCAGAGCTGGGATGTGAGCTCATTTAGGTGTTAACAGGATCTCTCTGCCGTGTGGGGAACAGACTGTCAGCGACAGGGACTCTATTAAGGAAGCTATTCTGTTTGTCCAGTTGAGAGATAATGGAAACTCTGACAAGAGTAATGCAGTGGAAGTGGTGAAAAGTGGTCAGATGGTGGTTGTGCTAGAAGATACCAGTATTTGCTGTTTTAGCTAGGGGGACAGGGAGAGAGGGAAACAGAGGAGTTGGGGGCTGGAGAGGGTTGGCCCTCCAGCTCTGGCTAGACCCTCCCGGAGAATGGAGCTGTCTTTTACTGAGATGCAGAAGACCGTGGTGGGAGAGGGGAGAAGACCTGTAGGGAGGACTGAGAGCTCCGTTGGATTTAGGATATTTTTTCTTTTTTTTCTTTTTGAGTTGGGGTCTCACTCTGTTGCCCAGACTGGCATGCAGTGGCATGATCACAGTTCACTGCAGGCTTGAATTCTAGGACTCAAGTGCTCCTCTTGCTTTGACCTCCCGAGTAGCTGGGACTACAGATGTGCACCACTATGCCTGGCTAATTTTTAAATTTTTTTGTAGAGATGAGGTCTTGCTATGTTGCTCAGGCTGGTCTTGAACTCCTGGGCACAAGCGATCCTCCTGCCTTAGCCTCCCAAAGTGTGGGGATTACAGGCGTGAGCTACCAGGTCTAGCCTGGACTTAGGGATTTGAGCTGCCAGTTAGACAGTCAGGTAGAGAGATGGAATCAAATACGTGGGTCTGGAGTTGAAGGGAAAGGTCTGGGCTGCTATAACAAAAATACTGTACACTGGTGGCTTAAGCAACAAATATTTGTTTCTTATAGTTCTGGAGACTGGGGAAGTCTAAGATCAAGGTGCCCACGCTTTCTCACCATGTCCTCATGCAGCAGAAGAGGGCAAAAGAGTACTCTGGGGTTTCTTTTTGATAATTTTTCTTTTTATGTTATTAGAAACAGGATCTCACCTTGCTGCCCAGGTTGGAGTAGCATGATCATAGCTCACTGCAGCCTCGAACTCCTGGGCTCAAGTGATCCTCCCATCTCAGTCTCTCGAGTAGCTGGGACTATAGGTTTGAACCAGCATTGAGCTAAGCTCAATTTTGAATTTTTTTATAGAGACAGAGTCTCCCTATGTTGCCCAGTTCCTGTCTCAAGTGATCACCCGCCTCAGTCTCCCAAAGTGTTGAGATTACAGGAGTGAACCACTGTGCCTGGTGGAGTTTCTTTTGTAAGGGTACTGATCACATTTATGAGGGCTCCACTCTTTTATTTTATTTTATTTTTTTGAGTTGGAGTCTCACTCTGTCACCCAGACTGGAGTGCAGTGGCTGCTCCCGGCCACCGCAGCCTCGACCTGCTAGGCTCCGGCAATCCTTATGCCTCAGCCTTCCAAGTAGCAGGAACTACAGGTACGCGCTACCATGCCTGGCTAATTTTTGTTGATTTATTGTAGAGATGAGGTCTCGCCAAGTTGCCCAGGCGGGTCTCGAACCCGCGGGCTCAGGCAATCCACTCACCTCAGCCTCCCAAAGCATGGGATTACAGGCTGAGCCACCGAGCCCGGCTAGGGCTCCACTCTTATACCTCAAGTACTTTCCGAAGGCTCCACTTCCTAATGCCATCACATCAGGGGTTAAGATTTCAACATACGGATCTTAGATGGTCACCAACATTCAGTCCATTACGAGTGTGGACAGAGAAGAGAAGAGGCCTGGGACTGAGCCCTTGAGAGTACCAGCCTTGGGAGATCAGGCAGAGGAACAGGAATCAGTTGGGGGGGAAGGAGAGGGAGAGGGAGATAAAGAGGGATGGGGAGTGGGGAGAGAGAGAGAGACAGAACTCCAGGAGAATGGTGTCTGGGAGCCAAGTTCTTTTTTTTTTTTATTTGAGTTGGAGTCTTACTCATGACCACCCCAGCATCAACCCGCTGGGCTCCGGCGATCCTTCCGCCTCAGGCTTCCAAGTAACCAGAACTACTGATACATGCTACCATGCCTGGCTAATTATTTATTTCTTTATTGTAGAGACAAGGTCTCCCAAGTTGCCCAGACTGGTCTCCAACCTGTGGGCTCAGGCAGTCCACTCACCTTGGCCTTCCAAAGTGCTGGGATGACAGGCTGAGCCACTGGACCTGGCCTGGGAGTCAAATTCTTAGCTTTTCCTTTCCCCTCCTTCATCTCCCTGTCTTGAGGGTCCCTAAGACCATCCTCCGGTTTAATGATTCACTCAAGGGAGTCACAGAGCTCAGAAAAGCTATTACGCTCATAGTGACAGTTTACTACAGCAAAAGGCTAGTGACTAACATCAGCAAAGGAAGAGGCACAGGGGGCAGAACTCAGGGAGACCAGGCGTGAGCACCCAGCTATCCTCTCAGTGGAGTCATCTGCACAGTGCTTAATTCTCCCCACAACAAAGTGTGACAATAGCAAGGAGTATTGCCAACCAGGGATGCTCACATGATCCTTGGTGTCCAGGGTTTTTATTGGAGGTCAGGCATGTAGGCATGGTGACTGACTTTCGTCTCCAGCCCCACCAGATACCAAGTGACCTGAGGCCCCAAGCATAGGTCACAATGTTAGCAAAGACTGTCTGGCATGACCTGAGGCTCCAGGCTAACTAAGATGCTCTCCTCAGGCAGGACATTTCAGGAGCTTAGCATTCTCACCCAGGAGCTGGTCAGGGCCGATCCTTTCTTTGGAACATGCAGGATTTGATCCAGGCATGGTGGCTTACTCCTGTAATCCCAGTAGTTTGGGAGGCGGAGACAAGAGGATTGCCTGAGTTTAGGGGTTCAAGACCAGCCTGGGCAACTTGGCGAGACCTTGTCTCTACAGTAAATCAAAAATCTGGCCAGGTGTGATGGTGCATGCCTGTGGTTCCAGCTACTTGGAAGACTGAGGTGAAAGGATCACCTGAGCCCAGCGGGTCGAGGCTGTGGTGGTCATGAGTATGTACTGCCCTCCAGCCTGGGTGACAGAGTGAGACTCCTACTGAAAAAACCCCCCCAAAACAAAAAGAGAAATGCATAGGGTTTAGATAACACAGGTCTGCTGAGTTCACCCTCATGGCATCCTGCTACTGCCACCTGCAGCTCCCCTCTTTGCTTTGAATAATAACAATCACAAAAATGGTGGCTGTCACAGCCCCTTGCTGCCAAGTGCTCCCTCTGTATCTGGCTTGCGGACTCCTTCCTGCAGTGCTGAGAAATAGCTGCCATTAGTATGGTCCATGACATGCCCAGTGTCACACAGTTCACAAATGGTGGAGTCACAATTCAAACCTCTATCTACCTACCTCCAAGCTCTTCCACGGGGCATGTCACCAGTGGAGCTGGGATTGTTTTTGTTTTTCTTTTAAAAAATTTTTTTGAGGCCGGGTGCAGTGGTTCACACCTATAATCCCAGCACTTTGGGAGACCGAGGTGAGAGGATTGCCTGAGCCTGCTGGTTCGAGACCAGCCTGGACAACTTGGTGAGACCTCATCTCTACAATAAAAAAAAGCCAGGTGTGGTGACGCATGCCTGTAGTTCCAGCTACTTGGAAGGCTGAGGTGGGAGGATCACCGGAGCCCAGCAGGTCTAGGCTACAGTGGCCATGAGCGTGCCACTGCACTCTAGCCTAGGTGATAGAGTGAGACTCTGACTCAAAAAAAAATTTTTTTTTCAGAGAACATTTTATTATATAAATGTTTATATAGAAATGATGAAAGAATATAAATGAATAAAAATGTGTCTCTGAGTCAGGATTTAAAAATTAATTTTTTTTTTTTAAAGATATGGGGTTTTGTTGTGTTGCCCAGGCTAGTCTCAAACTCCTGGCCTCAAGCAATCCTCCTCCCTTGATCTCCCAAAGTGCTAGGATTACAGGCATGAGTCACTGCTCCTGGCCAAGGCAGGAGATTTTAAACAGCATCAAGGGGGCAGGGTGGAAGCAACAGAGGCAGGCAAGGCCTGCTAGGTGACGGTTTGCCAATGACCTAAGTTCTTTGAGGAAGTGACCCGGGCAGGGAAGGAATCAGAGCAGCCCCAGTTCAAACACCAGCTTCATTGTTCACTAGCAGTAAAAGTGACCTTGGCAGTT